AAGAATTTTCATAACTTTAGTAACCTCTTCACTTTTGATATGAGACTAGCATGCAAAAAAAATGGATGATTATTGGTCCAATATTCTCATCATGTGTACAGGCCTATAATTGACTGATCTTAGTTGACAGTAGTGGAAATCGTCATGTCACTTAGTTGTTGAAGCCTTACTCATTCAAGATTCCATGTGCTGTGCATTAAGAGATGCCTGTCTGTATGCCACAATTATGCCACATTTATAAGGAGACTGTTATCAAAATTTGGTTGGCCGAGCAGGGCCTGGAATTTCATTTAAGTTGTGACCTCCCCTGCTTGAAAGAAGTTGATTACTCAAAGGGACATGTCGGAAGGATTTCTGATGATCAGCGCCTGAAGCAATCAGCGCGTGTCGCTGTCAGAGTACAATGTCCTGTTGGGGGCATACCTCCATCCACCTTGCATGCAGACAGCCTTATTTGAGCGGCTGTGGACTTCTTGTCAGCTTGACCAGGTCTGACCCTTCTCTTCCAACCGGTCTCATTAAAACAAGTCTAAAATTAGGCATTGAGCTATAAATAGCAAAAAATATTAAAACGAAGTGGCAAGAGGGCTGTTCATTTTGCAAGGGAAATTGCACTTTGCAAGGTCATTCATCCCAAAGATTATTGAATCAGGTAAAGTTTCACTTTGTAAAAAAATACTCAATCATGTTTAAGGAAAGTAAAAAAAAACATTTTTTGCTTGCACATGATGGGAATATGGAAGTCAGCGGATCTTTACTTCATTCACTAAGCTCTGGGACAAATTCACTTCCAAAATATTACTGCCTATTTGCATTTAGTAAACCATAAAGCAGTGGCTGAATGTGACATACATGTGACATGAATGTACAGATTTGAGTAGGTAAGATGTGACCTGTAGAGAATATGACAATGTATATTTAGCTCATTCCTTGTTATTATAGAAATATTTAGTCATAGGTACTCAGACAAATGGTCATCAATTAACATTGGAAAAGCCTAGCTTCCTCTGGAAGTGGCACTTGGGGGCCAATAAGATTTTGTCACCTGCTGGAGAAACCGGTTGGAAGGAAATGGCTGTAGAAAGATTGTCTCCCTGACATTTGGAGCTCTAAAATAATATACATACATCAAATTAAATGCTTCATCTCTCATAAAAGCTAAAATATTAGTTGCAGAGAGATGAAAATACTTCCTTTTGATGGGGCAATCTGTGGGTCACACCGACATATAAAAACCATATTTGTGCTTTAGGTAGAATGCCAGGAAAGTGCAGGAAATGGTTATGTGGCGCTGGATTGCGACAGTCGAACAGTGTTTGGTACTGTCGCGATCGGACTTATGCACTGGTGTCGGAAATCCAATCCCTGACTTGGTATTTCAAGCCGGTCTTGGTCCGATTGAACATGGGCAGGTCAGCACCCAGAACATCCTGTGGGCAGGTACAGGAACACCCCCCAGAGTTAAACGGCCGAGGACTAATATCTCGCCTACGTCCATATCCCCATAAATTGAGTACCCGGACATTGGGACATTGTATTTCGTATGGAGCTGGTTGATCGACTAACGGATTACGGACTTTTTCTGACTTGCTCCAGTCGCAGGGTAAATCTCGGTAAAGTTTTACTTCTGTCCTTTATTCCCTTTTATTTTATAGTGAATAGTCATTTGTGTGTCTTCTTGTATTTTTTGTATTTCTGTAACTTTTTATACTCTGCACATATTTTATGCACTGCCCACTTTCGGAATATTAAATCTTAAAATTAATAAGTGACTTCTGTGTATTTAAGCACGTGCTCATATCTTCAGAGAGATTAGATTGGAGAGATTAGATTGTATTGTATTTTAGTGCCTTTAAACGTTCGGTCAAGCTCATTGCCAATCTGTATGCAATTGCACTGTGTGTGGGCAGATTGCGTGCAGATTGTAAAAGGTAACAGATCGGCCAGACAGAGATCTGTGTGTGTGGGGTGTCCCAGCAGATGGATAAAATGTTGGGTGGTGGCAGGCTACCTTATGTGGTGTGTCTGGGGTAGGGGTGTGCGGACAGTGGAAGAGTGATTAACACCGGGGTTTTAGCTGTAGGATAGCTGGAGGGACTCTAGAAGGGTGTGTAATTACTAAGCTGCTCCTCAACTCTAGTCAGTGCACCAGATTGTATATAAGATTTGTATCTGCCAGTGTGTGGCCAGCCATCTGGATTGGAGTGGAGTCTCCTTCCGGTGGTGGCCAAAAGGTAGTGCGGGCTGTGGAAGTACATCACGGCTGATCTTATATACGGTTTTCTATATTCAAAGTTGAGTCCCCTTTATTCCCTCTTACCCCAAGTCACGGCCGCACGTGCGTGCCTTGGTTAGCTAGTCGCTGTGGGCGTGGCGTGTGGGGAATCCGTGACACTGAGTCAATCACCTGATTTCAACCCCACTGAGCACGCATTTCACTGAAGGCAAAACCAAAGGCAGAAAGACCCACAAACAAAGAACAACTGAAGACAGCTGCAGTTAGAGCCTGGCAAAGCATCAGAAAGGAGGAAACCCCAGTCTTTGGTAATGTCCATGGGTTCTACATTTCAGGAAGTCATTGCAAGTAAAGAATTGTCAACAAAATATTACAAATGAACATTTTATTTATGATTATATTCAATTGTCCAATTACTTTTGGCCCCCTTGAAAAAGGGGGGGGTGGCTACTCTTAAGAGCTGTAATTCCTAAACCCTTCCTCCAATTTGGATGAACATACCCTCAAATTAAACCTGAGTGTGTGCACTTTCAGTCCATATCCATTATAGAACTATAGCTTGAATATGCTTTGGTAAATACCTGAAAAAATCTAAAATTGTGCCTGTGTCCAAATATATATGGACCTAACTGTATGTTTGTGGAACAAGTCTTAATAACAACGCCACCATCAGGCCCACCCCGCAAGCCAAAGTACTTGGTGTCATTCTTCACTTCAGTCTATCCTTCCAGCCCCAAGTCTAATCGCTAACGAACTCATGCAGACTCCACCTCCGCAACATCGACAAAATACGCCCATTCCTAACCCCAGAAACCACTAAACAGCTCATCCACTCCCTCATCATATCACGACTCGACTACTGCAACTCCCTCCTCACTGGCCTCCCTCACTGCAGGCTATCCCCGCTTCAGTCGATCCTGAATACGGCAGCCAGACTCCTCCACCTTACCAAACGCTCCGTTTCCGCCACCCCCCTCTGCCAATCCCTCCACTGGCTCCCGATTGCCCAATGGATTAAATTCAAAATACTAACACTGAAGCACAAAGCTGTCCATAATTCTGCCCCAAACTACATCTCCGACTTAATATCCAAATACCACCCAAACCACACTCTCGCTCTTCACAAGACCTCCTTCTCTCTAGCTCCCTGGTCTCCTCCTCCCATGTCCACCTCCAGGACTTCTCCAGGATCTCACCCATCCTCTGGAACTCCCTACCCCAATCCATCAGACTATCACCTACTCTCCTCTCCTTTAGGCGCACCCCGAAAACCCACCTCTTCAGGGAAGACTACCCCACCCCCTGCTAACTGCCAATCTCCTCCTCTTTTCCCACCACTCCATCCCCCACAGCTTTTCCTCCCGTACCACTATCCTCTCCCTCCTAGATTGTAAGCTCCAAGGAGCAGGGCCCTCGAACCCTCGTGTATCGCACTGTATTGTCATTGTACTGTCTCATGTATTGTCTCCCATTGTAATGTACAGCGCTGAGTCAACTATTGGAGCTTTATAAATACTGTATAATAATAATAATACTGTATAATACTATGCGACAATGCAACTGAAGTTATGGCTTCAATCTATTCACAGATGTTGCCAAATAGCATGAAGCAAGATGGACATTTTATATGCGGCTATCTGGAAGCTGACATTAATCCACCTCATTCTGGCATTGTACTTCCATGATGACAGATGCAAATTGGACATGTCAGAGATGAAGGGGACAACACGGATGGGAGATATCATGGTTGGCTTCATCATACCACTGTATCTGGACAAGGTCTATGAGCGAGTCTCCTTTACGGAGAGGCCACCGAAAACCACCTGTGCTCTGTACGTAGAGTATTAACACATTCTGTTCCTGAATTTCTTAAATATAATTTGTAAAGTCAAAGGAAAAGGACAGATAGGGGTCCTCCAGAGGGCACGTGCTGTACCACAGAAACACTGTTGAAATCTTTGGAATCTTTTTGCCAGGGCTTTTCTTCTCAGAGAATGGGTGCAGGAACTTTCCTCTTCTGAACCACTTCTTGCCTCTGCACCCTATCTATCTCTGAGCACAGTCCCTTGGTTTCACCCCCTCCCCCCCTCCCAGTACCGCTCCTTATAGAGAATACAAATCCAAGTATCATTTTTTGGTGCTAAGAATTTGTTAAGGATTACAAGAAAAGCAGTAAAATCAATCCCCCACAGCCAGCAGCCATAGGCCCCCCAGCAATAATGGACCCTGGCAACAAAATATCATCCCAGCAGCAATAGACCCTCAGCAGCAACAGCAGACCCCCCGCAGCCAGCATCAATAGACATCTCCCTCAACAGATATACCTTCCAGCAACAATAGATCCTCCACAAGCAACAATAGACCACCATGCAAAAATAGATCTCTAGTAGCAATAGATCCCCCAGCAGCCAGCATCAATAGACCTTCCAGCACACCCCAGCACCTCTTGCCATTACACACATTCAGTTCTGGAGGTGCCAGAACTGCGTTCCCACTGAAAAAAAGCCCTGCTTTTTGCTAACAAATGCTGGTTTTTCCCTTTCCAAATAGGAAAATAGATTTAAAAAGCAATGCAACAGTCACTGAGCCTATACCTCTTCCACCCATAAGCTGTTTCAACAAGAGGATCAGCATGGGTCTCAGTGTCCCAACAACGAAACAGTGCATGATCACGTCTCACCACCTTGGTGAGATATATGTTGTTCTATGGTTAGCATAAACCTGGCCACTAAATCATTTATGGATTATGAATGGAGATTACAAAGATAAACATCTCCAGCACAATCACTGCCAGGGGCGGACTGACCATTTGGAAACTCGGGCACTGCCTGAGGGCCCTGGGTCAGTAGGGGGCCCCACGAGATGCCCCTGGTACCTTTTTCATAGGCATTTTTGAGTTTGGGCAAGGACACAGGGGCTCCATGATCCCCTAATGCCCGGGGGCCCCATGAGTTGTCAGTCTGCCCCTGATCACTGCACACTACTAAACTCATTTTTTACCTGCCCTGAGCTATATGCAGCTAGAGTGGGGGTCAGCAATCCGTAGATTGCGATCTACCAGCAGATCATGGCCAGATGACTGGCAGATCGTGGTCTGGGCTTGGTGACCCACCATCCCAGATCATCAAACAGAGTGCAATGCAGAGGGACTACTTATAAAGTTGGAGCTGTAGTAGGGAGCAAGAGCTGCATAATCCAGTCTCCTCTGTAGTACCGGCTCCTGTCCTATGTGGAGTGATACCAACTGCACTTCACCTCTTGTCCCGGCTAGAGGTCTCCAGAGTGGTGCCAGCAGAAGGAAAGAGAAGCGATCTTCAGGTCCGTGTGAAGCAGTACACTGGACATAATAGTATAGGGCTGCTTTCACACTGACGTGCTGCGGTTTACCCACACTGTGGGTGCAATGCAGTGTACCTGCAGCTTTCTTGAGGGTTTGCTGTGCCTAGTCATAGACTTCTATTATATCTGGTGCACTTTATGAAAGCAGGATATAATAGAAGTCTATGTTAAACTGCAACTAACCCAGGAAAGATGCAAATGCACTATCCAATACCTACCTGAGCCCCCTGTGCATCCAGTGATGTGCACGAGAGCCTCAGCTGTCCCGGGACTCCCTCTCCTCATTGGCTGAGACAGCAGTAGGGCACTGCAACCAATCACAGCCAGTGAGCCAATAAAAACAGAGCGGGAGGTGGGGGGCTGTCTTTTGGGTGCATAGTCGGGCTCGAGAGCACGCACTAGTGCCCAATAGCAAGCCGCATGCTCTTGTGGGCACTGGTCAAGGGGGAGGAGCCAGAAGTGCCAGTGGGGGATTTGAAAAGAAGTGGATCGGGGCTGCTCTGTGCAAAACTACTGCACAGAGCAGGTAAGTGTGATACGTTTGTTTTTTTGTTTGTTTTTCTCTTAAAGCCGAACCTTTAGTACCACTTTAAACGCAAGTTCCTCTTGCAGGGTATCATGGAAACAATCAGTACACTATACTCATAGTTGCTAGCTGATGACAAAATGTATTTTTAGAAAAAAAAAAACTTTTTTTTTCGCTTGTTAGGATAATTTAACTAACAATCCACAAATCCAAACTCATTTCTCTTGTCTGCATATGAATGAAACAGAGCAGATACAAAAGTAACAGTATTACTATGTACATTGTCTCTATATAAATGAACGCATGTTAACACTGAGGGCCAGTTCACACGACATGCGTTTCAGTTGCTTTCTTTTCTGCATCCAAAACCAGGGGTGTATTTACCACAAGGCAAGCAAGGCATTTGCCTAGGGCGGCATTTTTCAGGGGGGGCAGCAGCATCGTTCAGGGCGGCAGCTGCATTTTTCAGGGGGGGCAGCACAGCCCCCCAAAGGAAGGGATGGAAGAAGGGACACACGCAACATGCGGACCAGGTGGGATCTGAGAGAGGCTGCGGGCTGCTTGATGGTGTATGCAGAGGCTAAGTCATTCCCGGGGATGTTCAGAGCTGTGAAGGTGAGTGTCTTCTCCCTTGCAGGGTTGGGGGGGCATTGCCAGTGTATGGGGGGTGGTGGTAGTGGAAGGCTCTCTTGGGTGAGGGAGGAAGCTGGGGTGCTGTTTGTCAGTGTCAGGCTCTCTTCATGGGGGAGGGGGGTGTTTCAGGGTCTCTCCGTGGGCAATTTTTGTGTTGCCTAGGGCAGCCCGAAACATAAATACACCACTGTTCATAATGCACAGAAAGTAGGTGATATGGTTGTCAATGTCATAGTTCACATCAGTGCTTGCAGTTCCAGTGCGTTTCGGATGCAGAAAAAAAAAAGTAGAATTTTTTTCCTGCACACAGAACTGTACTGCATGTGGTAAAACGCATCGAAAATCCACTGGAATTCACCAAAAAACACCAAAAATGCACTCTAACGCACATGGGCCTACTTTAATTAACTTAAAAGACGGGGAAAAAATGAACTGGAAAGCATCAAAAATTCATCAAAAACGCACTGGAACGCATAAAAAACGCACATCCGGAACACATCTAGACTGCGTTTCTATAGTGTGAACTAGCCCTGAGTCTATTTTTTTTTACAACAGCAGCTGTGGGAGCTGCACACAGCATCACATGGCTTTATTTTCAGAGCAAAGAATTTCTGTCAATTGGTGTGTGTGGGGGGAGCGGGTGGCAGAGGGGCAGAAAGCCTGGATATGTTACACGCACCCTGTGTACTTTGCAGGGGCGGACTGACAACTCATGGGGCCCGCGGACAATAGGGGATCTTGGGGCCCCTGTGTCCTTGCCCAAACTAAAAAAAGCCTATGAAAAAGGTACCAGGGGCATCTCATGGGGCCCCCTACTGACCCCGGGCCCTCGGGCAGTGCCCGAGTTTCCAAATGGTCAGTCTGCCCCTGGTACTTTGATCACTTTTTTAAAAAAATATTTGTAGCACATCCGGCGCGCTCTATTTGTGGGGAAAAAAGGACGAAAATTGCATTTGGGTGCAGCGTTGCACGACCACACAATGGTCAGTTAAAGTAATGCAAAAAATGGCCTGGTCATGAAGGGGGGGGGGGGTAAATCCTCTGGAGGGCGTGAGGTTAATTAAGATAAAGCTATTAGGGCTCGTTCACACTTGACTGTTTTACCAACGCTTGCCAAACGCCCCTATGGCTTTTGGCAAGCGTTGGTCCGGCATTTACGGAGAGCTTTTTAACGCTCGGCAAACGCTCCGCAAGCGCTGCATGTGCGGTTTAGCGGCGGTTGCTAGGTGTTTGCTGAGCGTTAAAAACGCCCCACAAACACCTATAATGAAGTTTGAATGGTGTCAACCGCGTCGCAACCGCACTGCCAACGCCGGCTGGGCGTTTGCGGAGCGGCACCATAGACTAGAATAGGAGGCTTCAACACCTCCTGATTCGACCAGATGCATCTGTTCTGCCGCGACGCTGACGCTCCCCGTTAGAACCACACCATGTGCTGCAATGTGCAGAATTGTCAGAGGCGTTTGGGAAGTGGTAAAAACTCTTCCCAAACGCCTCTCTGCCGCCTGCACACAACGCTAGTGTGAACGTAGCCTTAGGGAGCTGAACACACAAAATATATAACCATTCAGCAACTATGCCACTCCTAATCTATGATTGGACATAAGCAGACCATTACAGGCTGGTACCTTCAGGTGAATGGACACTGGCAAAGCTTTTGAGGACACACTCCCTTGGCATCTCCTTATAGCCACTTCCTCAGTCCTCATTTTTTTTTAGCAAGCAATGCAGAGTAACACAGGAACAGAGGAGGGGGTGGTCTAGGTTACATAGTTAGTCTGGCTGAAAAAAGACAAAAGTCCATCAAGTTCAAGCATTAAAAAAAAAATTAAAAATAATAATCCTACACCCACAGTTGATCCAGAGGAAGGCGAAAGAAAAACCCAGCAAAGCACGATCCAATTTGCTCCTCCAGGGAAAAAAATTCCTTCCTGATCCCCCGAGAGGCAATCGGATATTCCCTGGATCAACTTTCCCTATAAATGTTATATCCAGTTATATTCTATGTATCCAAGAAACAATCCAGGACTTTCCTACAGCAATCCACTGAGCTGACCACAACCAACTCTTGAGGGAGTCTATTCCACATTCTCACAGCTCTCACTGTGAAGAAACCTTTCCGTGTTTGGAGATTACATTTCTTTTCCTCCAGATGTAAAGAGCGCCCCCTTGTCCTCTGTGATGACCTCAGTGTGAATGACTCTACACCGAGTTCACTTCCTGATCCCCCGAGAGACAATCACATATTCCCTGGATCAACTTTACCTATAAATAAATAAATAAATAATAGCTACTGTTCTCCAAAATATGGAATGTACAAGAAAGTTAAAAAAAAAACAAAAAACAAAAAAAGAACACTATTTTGACCCATTCTCATGGGTCCAGTTGGTAACTTGATTCATGAAGTTCAACTCACCCACTGTGGTCATTAAAAAAAAACAAAAAACCAGATGACTATTGATAACAGGTTTTTCTTAATTGTATTGTTTTCTGTTTTCTTCTGAAGGTTTCACTTTGAAAATTATCAGCAGCTCCAGGCTTTGATCTTCGCTGCGAATGAGATCAATGAGAATTCCAACATTCTCCCAAATATTACCTTGGGATTCCAGGCCTATGATTCCTGCAGCGATCTTCATCTGGATTTAAAGGGTAGTCTACATCTGCTTACTGGACAGAGTCCGGCCATCCCTAACTATCGATGTAATGAGGCACCCCTAAGTTCTATTATTGGTGCATCTATCTCCACGCATTCCATTGCAATGGCTCACATTTTGGGGCTCTATAGATACCCCCAGGTAAAAAGTTCTAAGATTTTTTTTTTAATTGGAGCATCCTTATAAAGTTGACATACAGAAACGATACATGGTTACGGTTATATTAGAACACAAAAACTAGCCGGCTTGATGGCTTAGTGGTTGCACCCAGAGGCGGACTGACCATTTGGAAACTTGGGCACTGCCTGAGGGCCCAGGGTCAGTAGAGGGCCCCATGAGATGCCCCTGGTACCTTCCATAGGCTTTTTTGGGTGTGGTTTGAGTGTGGACGAGGACACAGGAGCCCCATGATCCCCTATTGCCTGGGGGCCCCATGAGTTGGCAGTCCGCCCCTGGTTGCACCTTTTTAGAATTAAAGCAGACCTTGCATGAAAATGCAAGATCCACTTATCGTGCAGCCCCCACTCCCTCCACGTAAAAAAAAGTAAACGCAATGAAATAATGAAACATTGATAGAAAAATGTAATACATATCCTACGTCTGGCCTTCAGCTGCTTGATGGAGGCAATGATGGCAGTAATGGTCCCCCCCCCTTCTTGCAGTATCCTGGGAAAGCGGAGGATCCTAAGTCCTCCTGCACACGGGACATTTTTACAGCGGCTGTTTTTGGCTTTTGACATTTTTTCTACAGCAGGTAAACCCCCCAGCATGTTATCCTATGTGTCCATCCCTGGCATGTTATCCTATGTGTCCATCCCCGGCATGTTATCCTATGTGTCCATCCCTGGCATGTTATCCTATGTGTCCATCCCCAGCATGTTATCCTACGTGTCCATCCCCGGCATTTTCTCCTATGTGTCCTTCCCCGGCGTGTTCTCCTATGTGTCTATCCCCGGCGTGTTATTCTGTGTGTCCATCCCCGGCATGTTCTCCTGTGTGTCCATCCCCGGCGTGTTATCCTATGTGTCCATCCCCGGTATGTTCTCCTGTGTGTCCATCCCTGGCATGTTCTCCTATGTGTCCATCCCCGGCATGTTATCCTATGTGTCCATCCCCGGCATGTTATCCTATGTGTCCATCCCCGGCCCCGGCATGTTTCCTATGTGTCCATCCCCGGCATGTTATCCTATGTGTCCATCTCCGGCGTGTTATCCTATGTGTCCATCCCCGGCGTGTTCTCCTATGTGTCCATCCCCGGCGTGTTATCCCATGTGTCCATCCCCGGCGTGTTATCCTACGTGTCCATCCCCGGCGTGTTATCCGCTGTGTCCATCCCCGGCGTGTTATCCTATGTGTCCATCCCCGGCATGTTATCCTACGTGTCCATCCCCGGCATGTTCTCCTATGTGTCCATCCCCAGCATGTTATCCTATGTGTCCATCCCCGGCATGTTATCCTATGTGTGTCCATCCCCAGCATGTTATCATATGTGTCCATCCCCGGCATGTTATCCTGTGTGTCCATCCCCGGCATGTTCTCCTACGTGTCCATCCCGGCATGTTATCCTATGTGTGTCCATCCCCAGCATGTTATCCTATGTGTCCATCCCCGGCATGTTATCCTATGTGTGTCCATCCCCAGCATGTTATCCTATGTGTCCATCCCCGGCATGTTATCCTGTGTGTCCATCCCCGGCATGTTATCCTATGTGTGTCCATCCCCAGCATGTTATCCTATGTGTCCATCCCCAGCATGTTATCCTATGTGTCCATCCCCGGCATGTTATCCTATGTGTCCATCCCCGGCATGTTATCCTGTGTGTCCATCCCCAGCATGTTATCCTATGTGTCCATCCCTGGCATGTTATCCTATGTGTCCATCCCCGGCATGTTATCCTATGTGTCCATCCCCGGCATGTTCTCCTATGTGTCCATCCCCGGCATGTTATCCTATGTGTCCATCCCCGGCATGTTATCCTATGTGTCCATCCCCGGCATGTTATCCTATGTGTGTCCATCCCCAGCATGTTATCCTATGTGTGTCCATCCCCAGCATGTTCTCCTCTGTGTCCATCCCTGGCATGTTATCCTATGTGTCCATCCCCGGCATGTTATCCTATGTGTCCATCCCCGGCATGTTATCCTATGTGTGTCCATCCCCGGCATGTTATCCTGTGTGTGTCCATCCCCGGCATGTTATCCTATGTGTCCATCCCCGGCATGTTATCCTATGTGTCCATCCCCAGCATGTTATCCTATGTGTCCATCCCCGGCATGTTATCCTATGTGTCCATCCCCAGCATGTTATCCTGTGTGTCCATCCCCAGCATGTTATCCTGTGTGTCCATCCCCGGCATGTTATCCTGTGTGTCCATCCCCGGCATGTTATCCTATGTGTCCATCCCCGGCATGTTATCCTATGTGTCCATCCCCGGCATGTTATCCTGTTATCCCCGGCATGTTATCCTATGTGTCCATCCCCGACGTGTTATCCTATGTGTCCATCCCCGGCATGTTATCCTATGTGTCCATCCCCGACGTGTTATCCTATGTGTCCATCCCCGGCATGTTATCCTATGTGTCCATCCCCGGCATGTTATCCTGTGTGTCCATCCCCGGCATGTTATCCTGTGTGTCCATCCCCGGCATGTTATCCTGTGTGTCCATCCCCGGCATGTTATCCTGTGTGTCCATCCCCGGCATGTTATCCTGTGTGTCCATCCCCGGCATGTTATCCTGTGTGTCCATGCACACATAGACTGGAATCAACATTTTGTGGCAGGAAAAAAAAAACCCAGGACTAGTGGGCTTCTAGAGGAGTTTTTTTTAGCTGTAAAAACACTCTAATGCTGAAAAACGCGGCAAAACGCAAATGAGCCCTAAGTGTGCTGCTGTTCCTCTGAAAAGCAATCTGAGTGTGTTTGATAGGTGGTGAGGAGATGATATTTGCCTCCTCACCACCTAATTTAAACCCATGATTTCGGTGCAATGCACATGATTGTGACACGGTAGAATGGCAATTAGAGGTTTAAATCAGGTGTGAGGAGGAGACACTGGGCTCAGTGATCTTTGACTTCTCCTGTATTGTTCAGGTAGACCTCCACCTCTTCCAGGTTGCCTACCCCTGGTCTAGAGAGTATACATAGCCACAGGGAAGAAACATATATTTGAAACATATTTGAAAAATATTCTTCCCAAATATATTGCATATAACTGAAATACTACAATTTTGGCCATATTCAATATATTTAAAAAAAAAAATAAAATAAAAAAAAAATATATATATATATAGTGAATGCAGGGTCCAGGGAGATCGGATATAGTGAAATGCAGGGTCCAGGCAGAGCGGATATAGTGAATGCAGGGTCCTGGGAGACCGGATATAGTGAATGCAGGGGGTCCGGGGAGAGCAGATATAGTGAATGCAGGGTCCGGGGAGACCAGATATACTGAATGCAGGGTCCGGGGAGATCGGATATAGTGAATGCAAGGTCCGGGGAGATCGGATATAGTGAATGCGGGGTCCGGGGAGAGCGGATATAGTGATCGCGGGGTTCGGGGAGATCGGATATAGTGAATGCGGGGTCCGGGGAGAGCGGATGTAGTGAATGCAGGGTCTGGGGAGACCAGATATAGTGAATGCAGGGTCCGGGGAGACCAGATATAGTGAATGCAGGGTCCGGGGAGAGCGGATATAGTGAATGCGGGGTCCGGGGAGAGCGGATATAGTGAATGCAGGGTCCGGGGAGACCAGATATAGTGAATGCAGGGTCCGGGGAGAGCGGATATAGTGAATGCAGGGTCCGGGGAGACCAGATATAGTGAATGCAGGGTCCGGGGAGAGCGGATATAGTGAATGCAGGGTCCGGGGAGACCAGATATAGTGAATGCAGGGTCCGGGGAGACCAGATATAGTCCGGGGTTTAGTAACATTTTAACTAGCAAAACTCATAGAAAAAACAACATCTTCTACATTTGTAAACCCCTCCCTCCTCTTTAAAAAAAAATGACCATAACCTCTTTTGCACTGCTGTGTTGGCTAAACACTTTTTCTACCAAACACAATAAAAATGTTATGATATTTCCTTAGGTAAGCCATTTTTCAACAAGTCCTCTTCTGAGTGACCGGACCAAGTTTCCATCCTTTTTCAGGACTGTACCCAGTGACACGTTCCAGTCTAAAGGCCTGTCAGAGCTGGTGCTCCACTTTGGTTGGACATGGGTTGGGTTATTGGCTTTGGATAATGACTATGGACAGCAGGGAATTCAACTGGTTAGAAAGCAAATTGTTGAGGCAAGAGCATGCGTGGCCTTCATGAAAAACATTCAAACAGGTAGACCGGATCGTGATGCTCCTGGCATAGTTGCGGGTATGAAAAGGTCCACTGCCAAAGTCATTGTTGCTTTTTCTGATGCTGTCAACTTACTTCCCATTCTGGATGAAATGCTAATACAAAATGTCACTAACAAAATCTTTGTGGCCAGCGAAGCATGGGCCACCTCCAGCCTTTTCTCCACATATCCATATTCAAGTCTACTTTCTGGGACCATTGGGATAGCCCTTTATAGTGGTGTTATTCCTGGATTCAAACATTTTCTCAACAAGAACCATCCCTACATGGATCAGCAAGACTACTGGGTGAAGGACTTTTGGGAGAAGGCATTTAACTGCAAATTGGCAGATGAGAAGGACATGACAGGTTCTTCGGTCACTTTGAAAAATAAATGCACAGGAAATGAAAAATCTGGAGCATATTAATAATAGTTACAATGATGTCTCCAGCCTGCGGGTGACGTACAATGTCTACACTGCCGTCTATGTCATTGTCAGAGCCTTAGAAGATCTCAGAAGCTGCAATGCCGTAATAGGATCATTCCCTCGTAACACATGTGAAGATATTAGGAATTTCAAACCATGGCAGGTATCTTTGAAAGGATTTTACCTTCTAATCCAAATTTTAAAACCCAACTCTGTCTCCCTCCCCCAGACTCTACATCCCCCTTTCCAAAAGACCCCTACAAGTGCATTACGCTAGTTTCTCTTTTTACTTACCTCTTAGGAAGTGTTCAGGTCAGTCACATGAACAGTGGTGTATTTAGGTTTCTTGCTGACCTAGGCAACACAAAAATTGCCCCCCCCCCCGGAGAGACCATGACACCAGCCCAAACCCCTTCCCCACGACGAAGAAAGCCTGCCATTGGCCAACAACACACCAGACCCCCTCCCCGCCCCCAGTTGACAGAGCCTTCCACTACCACCGCCCCCCATACACTGCCAACCCCCGCCCCAGCAAAAGATAAGACACTCACCTTCATAACTCCCTGGGAACAGGAGTCAGGCTCTCGATACACCAACAAACAGCCCACAGCCTCTCTCAGATCCCACCTGGTCCCCGTGCCGAGTGTGTCCCTTCTTCCTTTCCTTCTTTCAGGGGACGGCACTGCCCCCCTGAAAAATGCTGCTGTCTCCCTGAAAAATGCCACCCTAGGCAACTGCCTTGTTTGCCTTGTGGTAAATACACCCCTGCACATGAAGC